GGAGCCGTCTTTAAAGAATTAATAACAATTTCTATTCTGCCTATAGGTCATAAATGACCATAAACGGATATCATATATAATAGGATTTTAATGAATTTTCTGTGTTTAGGTGGGTCCCTGAATCGTTTAGATTCAAAATTGGATAGGTGGTGCTGTTTATGAGATCCAGATATCACGCGGGTGAAGTCGAGGGTGATCCCTATTAAATTATATTAATTTTGATTCTGCGTATAAATCAAACATTTTAACAACAACATTTAATGTTTTTATTATGTTACTAAAATCTATGTTACTGACCTATGTACATATACTATACATTTCTAACTTTAACTAATGTGTATCGACGAAGTGATCATTAAACAGGCAATAGTAGTGATTTATTTATATTACTTTAGTATCTGTTGTTTCTAACTGCCTCGTTGGTCAAGTGATCGTAAACGCGATTGCATGAGGACCCGGGTTTAGATCCCGGGTCGGGCCGAAATCAGTTATTGGTATTTTGTCAAGAAATGCTCAGTAGCTACCCGTAGTTATAAATATGATGGTGTTTAACCCCTGTGCCTCGCGATAAGCACGTAAAACCATTGGACTGCGCTAGATCTCTTTCTAGAAGATTTTTATCGCCTCTGACATTCAATTATTTTATGGTGATGTTATCTTTCTTTGATTTAGCTTAATATAGATGTAAGTCAAATTTCTAATCTAAAATAAGCAAAACAGTTTAATTTATAAGATCAGACGCTTATAGGCAATCAATGGCCTCGGCGCTGCGGTTCGAATTTAGCACGATATCTGTGAGGCTAAACTCCTCCAACGTGTATTTTAAATCTCGTGTAAACAAGATAATTATATCATTATCTATCGGAATGGGGAATATGTATAAGATGCTGTCGTTCTGGAATATTTTTAAATCTATTATGGTATATAAGTATTTACTTATTTATTTAGTTAGAATACTCAAGTTTAAAGAACTTGTGACAGGAATGGTTGACAACAGTAGTTACTGTATGGCGGATTCGCGCCCACGATCTTTTCAGAATTTTGTAGTCCGTACTCCATGCCCTTAAGCGTTAAACTATTGACGCTTAGTAGTATTTAAAACCAAATTCATTCAGAATAACGAAAGTGTGGCTTCAGCATAAGAGAATTCCATTATAATACCAATAAAAAAGAAATATTACTAGAATTTATGCCTATCCTTTGCCGAGCCTTGGTAGACGAGGTAGTGCCAGCGTGGCAGCTATATTATGGATGTAGTATCAATGGGTCGGCTCGACCGGGGAAGGACCACACTTTCACAGAATAGCAGCGTAAAATAGCAGCTTAACGCTGCTGTGTTTCGTATGATGAGTGTAAAGAATCGGATACCCTCTTCACTAGAAACAAGGCATGTTAACTTAGTCCTCAGAGCTGACAACGCATCTACATTTTAATTATTTGAGTGAGTGCTCGTTTTCACCCTTATTCTATAAAAAATCAGATGGTCCTCCTAATAACGACTAGAAAAAACGTTGAAATAAATTATTTAAAATCAAAGAACAAATAGAGTTCTAGATTAATGCCTTTGACAAATAGTATGATTGTATAGAAATTCTCTTCATATTTTACCCACTTCGAGAAGTCTGAATAATTTGAAACATAGACATATTAGACATATTAGAAACCTACGACAATACAATAATTTCAAGAGTAAAGTATTTCGAACTCTTATATTATTATGCTGTATGTTGAAAATGATGCATACACATTCTGTTTAATTTATTTTAGTTTTGAAGTCAACGTACACAATACCACACAGAGGTTATCTCAGTAGTGTTAGAGGGAGTATACGAGCTTTTCTCATAATTACCATATTCGATCGTGGTAGTACTACGGCAAAGGTGCGTGACGTCAGGCACTACGAATGTCAATCCGTCTACCAAGCGTGTTAATTAAGCCAAATTCTAGTTTTTTTATTCTTTGTTTAAACAAAAGCTTAAACTGAATTTAAATACAACAGAGACTATAAATATAAAGTTTTAACTTTTACCTAAAAATATCTTATAAAAAACGTAGATTATTTTCAACAAACGAACTCTACAAATTATGTGACTTGCTCACCATGCGTCAGCTCTGTATTCTTGCGACAATATCATTAAATCACTCAAAAAAGAATATAATGAATCAAATCCTATATTAAACAAAAGACTTCGGAATCACTCATGCAGTGTACCGGTTACCAATTTATTATTTGCTCGAAGATTTTTCAATTACAGATGTCCAGTCCTAAATAATCTATCTAACAAATTACTAAATATATATCCGTTAAATAAGAGAGAGACAAAAAATTCCTTAACTAAATGGCTTAAATCATTAGATTACGAACAGACAAAAAAACTATTTGAACGTATTGTTTAAATATACATATTTACACACCATACACATACACACAGCCGGTACATTAATATCACTTAATAGACCTACCTACCTTTATATTATTTTAAACAATTTTCTTTTAATGTACATCTAATATATTTTAATAACTTTTAAACAGTTTCTCCAAACTGAGAAACTCTATTTTAATGTACTTTTATTACAGGTAGTTGTAATCTTTGTTAAGAGTTTTACAACAATATCACCTCTGTTGACGGAGGGGCCTGGTGATCCCATAGCACAGGGCAACATAGTTTGGGCACCAGTCTCCCACCTAGATCTCTTTTAGTTAGTATTTATAGCTCTATTATTTAGCTGCATAAGTTTACTATTACTTAGTTTATTGTAAAGTAGTGATAATATTATTATTTTGGGGTATCTATATAGTTTTATCATCTGTTTGGCTTCCATAAATATATAATTCCGAACGAAAATGATAAATATACGTAAATAACAATAAAATTAAATAAATACATAAAAAATACATACCTAAATAAATAAAAGCCCAACCAGATGGAAGCCCTCGGCAGGGGAGAAGAAACGGCCGAGGGTTAGGGGAGAAAGAGAAAGAAATCGGCGGACAATGCGGGCGGTATCGAGGAGCACCGCCTTCTGCATTTGAGCCCGGAGACGGACGACGGACTGCGTCACGTAGTCTCAGTCGCCTCAGATGACCCGAGAGGCTGACTGGGATTAGCCCCTTTGCAGAAACCACTACAGGTATAATTTCGGTCGAAAGCCCACCCCACATGTCGGTCACCTCGTGAGCCAGGTCCAAATATTTTGTTCGCTTATCTGTTTCGGCTTTCACGAGGTTCTCGTCATACGGAATGGTAATGTCGACCAAAATTATCCTTGATTGTGCGCAATAATAGTCTTATCTGTGATGATGGCCCGGTCCCGGTAGAGCCTGGCGCGGTCATTTTCGAGCACGACTTCCGGCAAGTACTTGTAATACGGCAGTTTCCGGTCCATGAGACCGTATTTCAGAGCGAGCTCCTGGTATATAATTCTGGCTACTAGGTTGTGCCTGTGCAAGTACTCAGAGTTAGAAAGCGCCGAACAACCGGAGATGACATGCCTAAGTAAGTCACCGGGATGGCGACAAGCTCGACAGATGTCGACGGTGCCATCCTTTAGGATGTATCTCCGATAGTTGTTGGTCTTAATAACCTGATCCTGTATCGCACAGACAAACCCCTTGGTTTCCCCGAAGAGGTCAACGAAACGTGTAGAGCCTTGTAGTACCTCCCGTGGAGCTCCTTCTCCTTCCATACAGTCTCCCCGTCGGAAATGCTCTGTACTGCCGGTTCTTGCCATTGCTGGTTGGCCAAGGATAGAAGGGTAAGCCCTTTATCACAACAAATGACGTCCCTATAGAATGGATCATCCGATCTAGTCGGAAAGTAATTACGAAATCTGCACACTTCGCGATTATGAATGGTAAGCGCGCTTAATAAGCCACGCCCACCATATTTTCGCGGCAAGTACAGCCTCATCGAAGATCTCGGGTGATGCATCCCATGGGATGTCACAGTAGTGCGGACTTTTCTATCCAGGGAGTTAAGTTCAGTCTGAGTCCATCTAAGTATTCCAAAGGTATACATGAGTACAGGCATGACCCAACCGTTATATGCTTGTGTCTTATTCACACCGGACAAAAGAACACTTTGGTCAAGCGTGCATAAAACACGTCGCAAACTGACTGTTTCATACCAGCCTCATCAATACCGATGTTCTCTGACATACCCAGGTATCGGTACGTTTCAGCCTCAGAAAGGGTCCTTAAGTTGACGGACATAGATAAGTCTATGCCCTCAGAGTTAAAAACCCTTCCCCTTTCAACATGGAGGACCGAACACTTATCCGTTCCCAGCTCCACTCCAATAGAACTGCCAAATTCACAAGTGATATTTAGCAATTCCATAAGATGGGAGCGACTGAACGCGAATAACTTGAGGTCATCCACATAAAAAGGTGGGGCACTTTTGTACCTCCTTTCCGAAGCTGAAATACCCTCCCGGAGCGCTCCAGTAATGTACTGAGAGGGTTCAAAGAGGGGCAGAACCAGATTGGACTCAGACAATCGTCCTGGAAGATACCCCTTCTTATCCATTAACCTTCTATCCTTATGCGGCTTTCCGCAGCCGTCATCCGCGCACCCAGATGACAAAGGATCGATCGATGAGGAAGTCTCTAACTGTACAGTCAATCTTGTACAGCTCGAGGACCCTCTTTAGCCATATATGGGGCACCAAGTCGAATGCCTTTCTGTAGTCTATCCAGGCGGCGGAGAAGTTCCGACGGTTGCGTTTCACCACTTTGCCAATGATCGCGTCAATGAGGAGTGGTTCCTTAGTTCCACGACCACTGCCCTGACATCCATTTAGAGTACGCGACATCACCTGATTTAAGTTCAGGTGACGAGTGACTCTCGCGCTGAAAATGGATGTTAGTGTCTTGTATATGGTCGGTAGACACGTGATGTGGCGGTATTTGCTCGGGTCTGTGGTAACCTGGTCTTTAGGAACCAAATGAGTGATCCCAGTAGTGAAGGGGCTAAGGAGCGACTTCTGGTTGAGAGGATCTTAAAACTGACGGACGAGCACAGCGCGACACACCATGAACCCCTTCAGCCAGCAGTGATGCAACCCGTCGGACCCGGACTTTTCCAGTTCGGGGGCTCTACGAACCGCCTCAGCTACGTCATCGGGCGTTATGATGTCGGAGTCCATGGGCGTAATACTCGCACACTGAGTCGTCACAAATTCCGTCCAAGGGTCCTCGCTGTGATTTACGGGCTCTGACCACAGGCCGCGCCAGAATGCGACAGTGTCGGCCTGATTCGGTGCTGGGCCCGTTTCACTTATCATTGGTCGCTCCAATTATTTATAGAGCCTCTTCTGATCACTCTGGAAGAGACGGTTCTGGTTGAACCATGAAGAACTCTCGGTATAACGCCGAATCCGCTTTCCCCAAGCAGCGATTCTCTGCTTCAGGTCGTTTTGCATTATATCCGGTTGGGACAAACTAACATTTGTCCCATCAAATGCCATCCTGACGGTGCGCAGAATCCTCGGCCTGTTATTGCCTGACCTGAAGCATATCAGTCTGCTATGAGGACCCTAACCTTTGCGATACGTTCTTCAATTCTTATTCTTCAGGGTGGGATAGCGCTACTTTGTCCAGTAGCGCGTCCAGCCGTGGAAAGTTTGGCGCCTATAATACGGCATTGTGCCAGTGCGGCGCCAAAAAGAATTGAGTTCGTCTCGCAAAGGTCCCGGCTGGCTTCCAAATAGGTCACCAGCATTGGGTTCAGCGCCCTCACGACAGCCCGATTCCGCTTGCTTAGGGCTATGCGGGGATGTCGCGGTCGATTTCGATTTGACGACTCCGTGGCGCAGTTGCTTAGCTATGAGTGGTTGCGCTGGGGTCGCGGGTTCGAATCCCGCACGGATCAAGTATTTATATGGCCTACAAATAATTGTTCCGGGTCTGGATGTTTTTCCTTGTGCAATTTATGTTTGTAAACTGCCTCCACGATACAGGAGAAAATCCTAGTGTAGGGGTAACGTCTTATAAATAAAGAAAATAAAAAAAAGATTTTTGAGGGACGTACTGCGCATTTCCACATTCGCCTCTTCCAATGTACTCCTCATATGCTCTAATTCCAGTTCCTGGACGACAGTTCCATCATCGTTTGAATAAAACACAACTGGGGTATTCACGGCGGCATCCACGTTTGTGGGTGCTCTGCAATTTGTGGCGGCGCATCCTCATCCGTAGCATTTTCATCCGATGAGGGAACAGCCTCACGTCGTAACCGTTTGAGTTCGGCGACATCAAATATATTTGAGCGCAAGATATACCGAACTCGGTCTGTCAGGTTTTGCTCTGTGACGGTTAAATATGGCTCCAGCTCAACAAAAAGACGATGCATCCCAGCCCGATACGCCAAACCTCCAACTTTTCCACCTTTCGCCCTAAAATACGCCCGCTATGCGTTGGTATTTCGATTTCGATTTCATTTCGATTGTCCATCGTACGCGGCGTACTCCACCAGTGGCAGGTGCTGATTGCTGGGCCCACGAAGATCCTGCTGACACCAAGCCAGCTGGTGGGGATGATGGATGCGAGGGCCTGATGGGTGGTCGTGCAGCACCTCTCACTCGGCTGGTGGTTCGCATGCTGTCGCGTCTAGCGCCAGCTCCAGACGTGCCCTGGCGACCACCAGGCAGCGGCTCTTTGTGCGTTCTTCCGCATTCCATCATCCATATTGGTGTGCGTCATTTAACGGGAGATGCCCAGACCCGGCGCTGTTACATGGTGGGGTCATGTGCACAAGCGAGCCTTTGCACCTTAAATTTTTGCCGAGGCACGGCACTAACACCTCTTGGAAAGGTTACGACCTTGATGCTCCAATTAGCAAGAAAACTACTAGTAATCTAATCGCACAATTTCTCGGCAAGCCTATAAGAAGGGAGCTTCGAAAGAAGCACTTTGTGCCAGACCCGATGGAAGACCTTCGCTATGTCCAAACTAACAGCCAATGCCTCCGCCTTGGACTCTACTGCCTCCATCCATCTATGAGTTAGGTAGGCCAGAAGATCACCAGCTGATCGACCACTACGGAAACTGTATTGGCGGTCTGATCAGATTGACTGATCAGCTGATGATCCTCAAGTTACCTCATGAGCTGGCAGTTTACAATAGACTCCATTATTTTAGAGAACACGGAGGTGATGGTTAAAGGCCTGTAGTGTGATGGGTCTGAGTGGTCGCCTTTTTTAAGGACCGGGTGGACCAAAGTGGTCTTCCACGAATTCGGGACTACACCTAGGGAGTAGGACTACCGGAAAAGACATGTTAAAGCCGGTGCCAACTCCAGAGCACACGTTTTCAGCACAATGGAAGGGACTCCATCAGGCCCACTCGACTTACTGACGTCTAGGGAGAAGGGTGATTTGTGAACCGAGCGCTGTGTAAATGGCATATCCGGCACACAGCACTCGGATGGTCTCAGACCTTGCCTTGGCAATGACTCTTTTGAAGGACCTGGAGGCGAAATTATACTTATTTTTAGAGTGCTGGTGCTTACATCCCGAGTCGTTGATGCATTAGCCCTGGCCCGGTAGCACTCGTGCTTATAGCATGATGCTATTTTACAGGATCGATCAAAACATGGCTGGGATCTGCCTCCGATGGGCACCACAGAAGACGGAATGAAAAGTTCAAAACCCTGACGTACCACATCAGCGACAGAATCAGCAACAATTCTAGGATCGTCCGGCGAGAAGCAAACCTGCCCCCAAAGGTAGAATACAAAAAAAGACCGCATCCCATCCCAATCGGCCGAGCTATAGTGCCAAACACGGCGGTAGCTTGCAGAATGCAATCGCGACGTTAATGTGACTGACTGGCACCACACTCCGGACAAGACAATGGTCCGACGAGCCTAAAGCGGCTTTGACTGAAACCTGATATCCGTCTCTATGAGAGGTCAGCAGAGGGTCCAACAGGGAAGATGTATGATCTTCCATATCTGGAATCCACGTAGACGCAGTAACCAGTTGTGGCAGACCATATGCCAAATCAAAGTCATAAACAGATCTCCCTGCACGATCGGTTATACGTAAACGAAGCCATTCGGCGTGGTGTGGGTATTCGGTAGTGCTTGCTAAAAGTGATTCCGCGAGCCAACCTTCCGTCTATTATAATGATCGCTCGATATACCGTTCTCTTCTTCATTTAAAAATCTTGGCATCCATATTGATAGTACTCCGACTTGGGGGGTTCATATCTCTTGAAACATGTCGTAAAGTCTTTGATGCTTTACGTTCTCTTTTCACTTTATGACCAATCACGTATGTCACCCGGACTTAAACCAAAATCTAAAAAATTTTGTTTGTTCACTCCTCTATTTTAAACGATCCATCCATTCCTTAACTCTAGGACAAATTTCAGTATATTTCCTCAACGCGTGATAGATCTCTGCGATCCTCGTATAAGAAAAAAGTAAGTATCCCACTGCATTTTACTAATTTTGTTGGTAAATCCTTCACCAACAGTGCAGTTCTGGAACTCCTTGCCCGACGACGTTAGAAAAATATCTAATAAGACTGCGTTTAAAAGATTGTTTAGTATGGTCAGTGTCTGTAGTAAATTTTAAAGTATATGTTCTTTAATTTATTATTTAATATTTACTATTCATTTTATTTTTGGCCCCTGTCACATTATTTTCCACACGTCCCGGGTTGAGAGAGAATGCTAAAAGGCATTAAGCCGCCTTTCGTAATCCTTTTATTAAGGTGCAATTAAGTGTGAATAAATAAATAAATAAAATGCGTTTCACTGTGCGTTTTACTAGGAGTTTTCTTCCTCGTACAACTTCTCTTTGGAACTGTTTACCACCGGTGATTTTTCTGACTTGACTTGGGGACCTTCAAGAAAATAGCTTACTCCTTTCTAAAAGGCCGGCAACGCACCTGCAATTCACCTGGTGTTGTGGTTGTTCATGGATGGCAGTAGTCACTTACCATCAGGTGAGCCACCTGCTCGTTTGCCCCGTCTTCTATAAAAAATAAGAATAATAGCGCAACGGCTAATTAACAATTTGACGGAAACTATTAATAAGTTTTGTTTTTTTATGAGATGGTTTTATGACTCAGTGGTTAAGGATGAGCCGCAGGTTCGAATCCCACACTGAACAAGTATTTGTATGGCCTGCAAATAATTGTTCCAGGTATGTTTGTCCTTGTGAAATTTATGTTTCTAAACTGCTCACGATACAGTAGAAACTCCTGGAGTTAAAATAACGTCCAAATAGATTATCGTTATAAAATTTATTTGCCGAAGACGAATTTTCTTATAAATAGATATATTATATATTTAATTTTCGAAAGATTTCGTATAAATCGAATCTTTTAAAATTTATCATACAAAAAGACTATCTTAATAAGAATATCTTCTTTTAATTTATCGCAGGGTATTTTGCAATTAAAGATAATGTTCAGTTGAGATAAAACAAGGTACCTACGGTTTATTAGCGTTATCAACATAGTTGCTCAATGATTAATTAGTTCAAATTACTGTCGCAAACTATATATGTGCGAAACGTAAATGGTTAATAACACATGATTAAAGGTTCCTTTAGCGAAGTATTAGAGAGTGAAGCTTCTCTGCGTAATAGAAACCGCAGTAGAACCAGTATATATAACCAAATGGTTAGACAACATATTCTTATGCGACCCGACGAAAACCCAACTTACCATGTATTCGAACCAAAGAATTTGCGTTGTCATATATAATTCACACAGTACATACAGTAAATAATTTTTCAGCGTCTTTATTTACTTCACATCACAATGTTTATTCGTGGGAGATTCTGCTACGTATAAACATTATGTACCTTGTTGTAGCACGAACGGGTCAGCTCGACTGGGTAAGTACCACGTTCTCACAGAACACGAGCGTAAAATAGCAGATCAATGCAGCAGATTTTCAAATAGTCGAATAGCAGACATCCGGTGACTCTTTTTACTCGAAACGAGGCATTTAATATCAGTCCCCAAGGGGTGACTATACATCTGCATTTTGATCTTGATCAAGGATAGATGTAGATGTCTATGGAGCACAACATACATTTACCTTCAGATGGACTGTGTGATCGTTAGTCACCCTCACTTACTTAAAAATATAGGTGTATGCAAGGCAACAATTAATATCAATTTGTAATCATTTTACTATAAAAAATGGCAAAATTTATTGCACTTTATTGGACCCTAACAGTTGTATATCGGATTTTATTATAAAAGCACTTTCAAGTAACTATTAGGTTGAAAAGGAAAAGACATTTCGTAATTTTCTTTAAGAG